TTTCCCTGCAAATAAAACATACATGTTTTAATTGGGTATACATAACATGTACTTGTTTTACTGATGAACTCACTCTCGAGTTACATTTTCTCGTGATTTGGTTAACAATATCTTTTATCTTTTCATTTGTATATAAAACTATCCACTAGAGTTCCAAGAAGTTATGATGCATTTTCTTTACTTGGGATTTCAAGTGCTGTAAAACTAGATGTTTATAGATTCAGTTTTTTGGGAGCATTATAGATCAGAAAAGATCATTGCAAAGATTTTCATTTGTGTTGAAATTACTTAATCTTATAAAAGCATAGTTAATTTATTTTGTACACACACTGAGATAATGTAGTAAGCTGTATGACTTGGGTTTATTTTCATTTTCTTTCCATTTTTGCTTTCCGTAGGGTTATATTAGTTATTATTTTTTTATCTTAAAGCTTTCTCCACTTAAAGCCGCTGACATCTTCTGCCCAGACATCATGGATGACCGAAAGGGATTGACCAATGCAGTATAGCTCTCCTGCCATCCAAGTATGATAGCTTACTGTAACCCATACTCCTGTTACCATATTCTAGATGATCCTATTCTGCAACCTCCATTTTTTGCACAAACCTCCTTCGAATTGTATTGCTACCATGTAAAACTATTTGTTCTGTATGCATTACCCTGCAATTTTGAGGATTGCACGCGACATCTTACTGAAGATCAAGACATAGGTTTGATACCTTTGACCCAAAAGAAAAAGAAGGCCAAACATGGGAATGCATCTGCTGTTGCAAAGCCCAAAGATGTTTTATCCCATAAGCAGTGGCATTTGCGGGCTCTTGTTTTGAAGTCTTTATATCAGTGCTTCCTCTATGACACGACAGATCTGAAGTTTCTTGATGCCTCAAATTTTGAGGTTAGTTCATATATTTTGTGAACCTTAAATATGTTGTTTGATTGTTTTCTAGTATAATTTGTTTTTTTCAATTGCATCTCTAAATTCTTTGTTTTAGATTCACATAATTTGTTTTCTAGTATAAATATGTTACTGGTTAATCTTACTATTCAATATTTTTTACTTACTACTTTATTTTAGATGGTTAATGACTTGTTATATTTGTGAAGTTGAAAATTTGGCTGTGATTAATTTGTCTTGTTGGTATTTATTGGTATTTGCATAATACTTGTAATGTTTATGAATTTTTTGAATATTTATCACCTTAGTTTACTCAGACGATCGCCTTTTTTGGTGCCTCTGGCCTCAACCAATATAGGACCTAATCGCCTTGACCTCACCGTGAACTATTAATTACTTCAAGAGGAGATAAATATGATTTGCAACTTAAAAATATATATGCTGTCTTTTCTTCAATGTCAACTAAGCAGTAAAAGTTTCACATGCTGACACGTCAGAACTCAAAGTTGCTACCATTTTTTGGAACTTAAATAAAATTTTTTGAGTACAGATCTTTCGCATTTGTTTGGCATTGTCTTCGTTCTAAGTTGCATGTGATTTAGACTGAGTAACCACCTTTAGAAATATCTCATGAAGCTATTGTACTCCTTTTGAGTGCCTTGTTTTGATCATAATTTACAATGACTTTGATAATAATGTGATGCTACTGACTTGCCTAAATCCAGGAGTCAGTAGACTTGTACTACCTACCTGTATGTTGTTACTATCCATCAATTTATTACTTGGTAGTTTGAGACCTGTTCTATAGGTATTATGCATAGCAACATGAAATTGATGTGGTAGTCTTGATTCAATTGTCATTTAGCTACAATTATTCATGATAATTGACTCGTGATCGAACTTACACCCAGAGAAATACTAATCTTGTGCTCAGAAATAGGAAAGGAGGATAAGGAAAATAGCCCTGATATTATCCAAATTTATCTTCTTTTCATTGCGCATTTTATTTACTGAATGTTTAATTTCTTTGTTAGTTCTAAGCTGTTCATAAAATGTTGCAGGTCCTCCTGAAGCCTATTGTTTCTCAGATTGTGGTAGATCCTCCATCCTCTGCTGATGTTTTATTGGATATGCCTACTGTAGATGAAGTTGATGAAACACTGGTTTTGTGCCTTGGTCAAATGGCTGTTACAGCACATTCTGATGTCTTATGGAAGCCTTTGAACCATGAGGTCAGTATAGCACCTCGTTCACATAAATTTGTCATTGGAGTTATTGGTTAGCCACTGCATGACTGGGGGATTGGGTGTTGATGGTGGTGATGGTAGTGATGGAGGGGGAGGGGGTGTGTAGAGTGTGATTGGTTGGTGGGTGGGGGCTTTGGTCGTGGTTGAGGATGGGGAGTGGGGATTTTGTTGTGGTGGTGGTTGAGGGGGAGGGGTGGGGGGAGGGGGAGTGTGGTTGGTTGGTGGGTGGGGTTGGTTGGTTGTGGTGTGTAGTGTTGTGGTGTGGTGTGTGTTATTGTGTTGTGGTGTTGTGTTATAGTGTTTTGGTGTTGTGTTGTGGTGTTAAGGGAATTATATTTATATTTGCACTCTTATTAATGGTTACACACCCTTATTAACGTTTGATTTATATTTGCAGGCGGGGGCTTCTTCAGGTTGGTTGAGGGGGAGGGGTGGGGGGAGGGGGAGTGTGGTTGGTTGGTGGGTGGGGTTGGTTGGTTGTGGTGTGTAGTGTTGTGATGTGGTGTGTGTTATTGTGTTGTGGTGTTGTGTTATAGTGTTTTGGTGTTGTGTTGTGGTGTTAAGGGAATTATATTTATATTTGCACTCTTATTAATGGTTACACACCCTTATTAACGTTTGATTTATATTTGCAGGCGGGGACTTCTTCACAAGGTGTAGCCGGGGTAGTCATAATGCAGCTCGTGTTGAGGATGAGGATGATGATGATGATCAGGAGGATTGATTGTAATTAATTTAACTTTGAAAACAATTTCTTGTGTTGTATAAATAATATTTATTATGTACCTGTCGTGAAACTTTTATTTGTTTTTATTGAAATAAATTTGTGATATATGCGTGAGATTGAATATTATACTGCTGATTAAACAGGTTTTTTAAATTTAGTATCGATATTGTACAGGGTTTTTTCAATAATTTTCAAAATATATTTTTTAAAAAATTAATGATTATTTAGCTACGGATTTTCCGTGGCTAAATATATATTTAGCGACGGTTTTTCCGTCGCTAAATAAATATTTAGCTACGGAAAACGTGCACCAAAAAAAATAATTAAAAATTTTATTAATAAAAAATTATTAAAATTAAAAAAAAATAGCGATGGATTAGTAGTCGCTAAATATCCATATAGCAACGGAAAACATTCACGAAAAAAACTGATTTAAATTTTTTTTTAAAAAAAATCCGTCGCTAATTCTCTTTTTAGCGACGGAATTTCCGTCCCTAATTCTATTTTTAGCGACGGAATTTCCGTCGCTAATATTTTTTTATTATTTTATTAAAAAATAATGGCGACGACTTTGTCGTCGCTAATATACCGTCGCTAAACTTTAGCGACGGAAATTCCGTCGCTAAAACCTCAATTAGGGACCCTGAATGTAGCGTCGAAATTTTAGCGACGGAATTTGTTTTTTTTTCGTCGCTAAAACTTTTAGCGACGGAAAAGTGACTTTTAGCGACGGAATTTTCCGTCGCTAAAAGTTGTAAATCCAGCAGTGATAGTTATAAACAACACAATATAGTATATACATATATATTTTTTAAAATTATAATTAAATATTAACAATTCATTATATTTACCATCATAGACTCTCAGTTCATGAGGTTGTGACCTTGAAAGAGCATCTTGTAGTACTCTATAATCATTTGTGGACCCCTTCTATCAGCTAGAACGTACAAAAATAACTTATTTGGAGTACATGCGGCTAGAACATTTTGAATTACACATTTATGACCTTTAAAATAGGCAACAAGTCTAGCAGGAAGTATGACATTAATGTAGATTCCATCTATCATGCCAATGCAATCTTATATCATGTGTTAAATTACTATTATTTCAAGCAACAACAAAGCTCTTTTTTTCAATGTTTGTTATATGAATGAGTTCATTACCTTAAAATAAGGATAGTACAAGGGATTGTTTACAATCTCTTGCGCCACTTTATTTGGTGCTTGCTTCATGTACCACCCCCTTGAATGACCAATTGTTTCTAAGCATTTATTAAAATATATCTATAATTTATTTCCCCTGATTTTATGAAATGTGATCTTATTATTCTATTTTTATTTTATGTCCTAATATATTAAGGAACATGATCAATTGTTCTTCTTCTTTAACATTACGTGAATCCTTAAATAGGCCCATAATTTTTATTATTTGAACAAGTTTTTCAAATGCTTGTAGCCTCATTCTAACATAATCTCTACAACTTTGACTATAGCCAGAAAACACAAGATCTATGTGTGCATTTGTAACGCATGATCTATATGTGTGTTCGTAGGATCTATCTTTTTTCCCCCTCCCTATCATGATAAGTGATTGATTTCCTACTACAACACCTTCCCATTAAACATGAAAATACAGTAATGATGGTGAAAATAGTAGCATTACTCGACATCCTCAATAACATTTTTTATCAACATCATCCATCTACAATGATCGAGAAACACAATCTTAAACATATGCAAATTAAACTCAAAGCAATTTTTAAAACTTAACTAATATAAAGTTTACTCAATTTATACACATAAATAAACATTTCTTAACATCAACTTCAAGGTCATATTGCAAATTCATGACAATAATCATACATTTCAAATTGAACCAACTCAATAGCATCCAAAATCATGGCAAAAACCATGAATTTTAACAAGTATGATTATCAATAATTCGATCCAAATTAATAGAACAGACCCAATTTGATTTAATTATCAATAATTTCAACAAGTATGAACTCAATAATTTCTGTCAAAGAAAAATTAAAATTCGACAAAAAAATACTAAAAAAAGAAGATGGTTTTACAAAAAATATACTTTGGATTGCAGCTAGGAAAAAACCCCAGACAAAATAAGAAATCCAACAAGCGGTCTGGACCGGATCTACACGATCGCATGTGAGGTTGAAGCACAATTAGATTAACTCTGAAATCTCAAATTCTGAAAGTAATACCGAAGAGAAATCCTAAATATCAACTCAAATACAAAAGAGAACCCCAAAATTTCCAAATTTCGTCTTCAATAGAGATCACATAAACCCAAATATGTATTCAGATGCTTCGACCTGACATTTTAGAGCAAAATTTTGAAGCAAGTGATGGCGAATTGGGATGAAAGAGGAAACTAGACTTCTCTTTGAGAGGGAGGCACGAACAAACCAAAGGGGTAAGAGCATCTCCAATCACTCTCCAAAATCTCCATCCCTCCAAATTTGGAGAGTGAATCCTCTCCAATCACTCTCTAAATTTGGAGATCTCCAAATTTGAAGATGATTCACTCTCCAAATTTGGTGAAGCTAGAATTTGGAGAGGCTCTCCAAATCAGTATTCAAAGTTTTATTATTTACACATTTGCCACTTTCAACTATTTAATTTCTTAAAAATTACCACTTTGCCATCATTTTTAGTAATTTAAATTAGATGTTTAATTTCAAATAAATATAGTTAAAATTTTATTAATCTAATTTTTGAAATAATTATATATTTAGAAAGGTATCATCGAGATCTTAAAAATAAAACTAAGATTGGTTTATTTTAGTATTATTATAAAATTATTTTTTTTTAAATTAAATAAATGAGTATCAGATATGAAAATTTAGATACGAGGATCTATTTAACTTACCCCATAAGAAAATACAAGCATAAATTATAATATTTAAATTACATTCTTTCGTTGACTCAAGCTAGAATCATATACGGAGAAGACTTTAAAGAAAAGAAAGGATTTTAGTTCGATCATGTTTGGACGAATCTCAAGGATGTCAAGAAATAGGCTAACCCTAAATCCAATCATGCAGCTAGGAGCATATCTGAAAGTTCAGAGTTGAACACGCAAAGTTGGCCTAATGCAACAAAAGACGTTATGGATCTCAACACGGAGAGCGAAAGTTTTATGAACATGAGTGATGGCCAGTTTCTCACGGACAACCCAGCAAGTCGGCCTGTTGGAAAAAAGAAGGAGAAGGTAAAGAGAAAAAAGTCGGCGGAATTTAGTTCTGGGGAGGGAATTATTAAGAGTATACAAGAGATGGATGCTAAATGTGAAATGAGCAGGGAAAAAATGGAGTGATTGATGATAATAAAACTTGAAAATAAAAAAATAAAATTAGAATTACGAGCTAGAGAAGTAGAACAACATGACCTACAATTAGCTCTTCAGCGTGAAAGCGATGATAGACAAATTATGTTGATCGATCTAAGTAAGATCGTCAATCAAAGTGAACATGCTTACTATCAACAAAAAAATAAGAAATTATTAATAGAAAGAAATATAGAGCTCCATCATTCGACTATGGATTTTCCTCCAGAGGGCCAAGAGAATTTTTTGATCTTCTTAGAGGAGCTATAGGAGGAGAAAACGAATATGGATTTTCCTCTGGAGATCATGGAGGATTTTCTCAGTTTGCGGGAGAAGCTGGTTCTGTAGGAAGAAATGAATATGGGTTGGTTATTTTAGTTTTTTATTTTTTTTAATATGTTATATTGCATAATTAATATTGGGTTCATTTTAAAGCTCTTGTCGACACCTTTCTAATATTATTATTTTTTTCCAAATAAATTATTAAAAATAAAATTATTAATGTAAAATATATTCAATATTATTAATTTATATGGCTTTTTTGAAAAAAAATAAAAAAAAAATATTTAGAGAGTGTGAGTTGGAGCAAATCTCCAAATTTCACTCTCCAAATTTGGAGCATTCTAGGAATATTCCAATTTGGAGAGTGGAATTTGGAGGATAGGGTTGGAGATGGGCTGCTGATTTTTGTTAGGTGATCGTGTGATAAAGAAAGAAAAGAGGGTGGAGATGGGGCATACATTTGTCAAAAATTTTTTGCCCATTTCCCATCCAAAACAAAAAAAAAATGGGTATTCCAAACATCTGTGTACTTTTCATGTTTTATGGAAAACATTTTTTTAATTTTTTTTAACCAAACAAAAGTAATGGAATCCTATAATTCTATTTTTGCTACTTTTTATTCCAAATTCAAAAAGCCACATTATTTACAATAATTTAGTGTGAGCCAAACACGTCCTGAGTGGCTAACTCGCTTAGTACCCATGAGTTACCTACAACTAATCCACCCAAATATGAACTAAGCAATTTCACCTACTATGATTGGGTGTGCTGAGACACATTTTCTAAGGAAAAAATAACAACATAAAAACAAATACAGTACCTGATGGGATGTGCATTACCATAAGATGCTCTGCATGCCCTCTGAAAGTGTTTGTTGATGGTCATCTAACAATGAGTTTTAATCTTTATAAGATATTATATTTGAGATGATTGTTAGATGACCATCAACATGACACATTCAAAAGTAGCAACGCCTCAGTTTGGCCTCAGCACTGAGGCTCAACATTACATATATTTAAACAAGTTAATTAGACTCTTGAGATAAGAAAGTATATTCTTCGAATGATTCTAGTGAATAGCATATTCCAAGAATAAACTCATGGTTGCTTGTGGGTATGAGAGAAGCTTTGATCTCTGGATAAAACTGAGACAGATGATGACAGAGATGGAGAACCATTTTCTTCATCTCATGCTTAATTATTTGTCTGGTTGGTGGAAATTATATAAGGCTTCTTGCTTGTAACGTTGCAAGATTTCAATCAAAAGAATAAAATAAGATGAATTATTTTGTTCTTCCATGTGATGTCCACAGATGTTTGGGGTCCTTTTGTCCACAAATGAAGGGAAAATCACATGTGACTTTAGATGTGGCCCAATATTAATGGCATGTGCTTATCGTGTACAGGAGCAAATTCTTGGCCGAAGGAATTTGAGGCATGAACTAGTAAGTGAAAGTGCTATTATCATAATCTGATTAAAAGTTGTAATATTGAAATGAATTTGTAAACTTTATAATTCAATTTTTTTGTTTTAACACTGACAGTGAAACCAAACAATGCCTTGTTTAGAAAATAAACTCAAGTCGTCTTCTCAAAATCAGAAGAGTGGTAAAGCTCAATTTCAATGTGGTTAATGGTTCTTAGAAGAGTAACTTATTGAGGTTGTTTAATTGGACGTAATACCCAGTTTTCAGATAATCAAGGTAAAAAATGCCTTAAAATTTTGTAAGTTGATAAGTTACATGACAAATTTATCTTCATATTGTTAGAACATTATTTAGGATAGAACATTGTTCGTGCAATATTTCTTGTTTGATTAATAACAAACTCTTATCTACTATGGATACGTTTGTAAAATTATATATTTCAAGTATAAATGGGGTATGAAAAAGTTACGGTTTCAAAACGATGCAAAAATCAACATGAATATTTATTTTAACCTTTGAACCATCGATGGTTGGGAGGCCCCATCGATGGTCAAGTCAAGTCATCGATGGACTATAAGAAAGAATTGGATAAACAGAAACCAGAAATCGAACCATTGATGGTCTAGAGTCGACCATTAATGATCGCAAGGACTATCGATAGACTACAGTCAACAGTTGAAGAAATCTATAAACCATTATTTGCACAATCAATGGATAACAGTCAATCATCGATGATCCTCAACGACCATCGATGATTATGATCCACCATCGGTGGTTATGACGCACTTTGGCAGATTTTTAGATTTAATTACAGTCGTTCGTTGATTTATTTGATCTCCTATTGGAACTTTGATTAGAGTATCTTTTTCCTATTCTATCAAGGTCTATACAAAAGGAGTTGGACATCATATTTAAAAAAGGAGACAACAAGAAAAGCAAGAGGCATTTGCATAAAAAGGAGAGAACTTTTTTTAGGGTTTGAGCGAGAGGGGTGGGAGGGTGGGGGGACAGAAGGAGGGAGGGCGTGCAAGAGTTGATAAAAATTTCTGAGCCTCGTTCAGCTTCTTCTTGGTGCACTTTTCATTAGAGTTTGATTGAGAGAGAAGAAGTGCCCTACGCCTATAATGCTATACCACTTCTTCATGGATCTTCGTCTATATTGATTTGGAGAACGGTTTGATAATATTTATAAGATTGTTCTTTTTATGCTTTACTCATTCCGAGTTGGTTGTATTTTAAACTTATGAGTTTGACGGCGTACTCAAGTGAGGGTAATTGAAGGTTAGCATACTTAAGCTAGGTGAATTGAGGGTTCGGCTAGCTAAACCTAGTATCTTTTGGTCATTGTGAAGAGCTAGGTTAAATGATTGCTTTTGGATAGAATCTAGGGTGTAGTCTTTGAAGCCTACCAAATCGGATTGTGATTTGGGTGAACTCTAACCATAATAAAGAAGGCTCTTCACGAGAAAGAAGAGTGAACGTAAGATTTTGATCCGAACATCTATAAAAATCTTATGTGTTTTTCTTGTGCTGATTTGCTTTTAGTTTTTTGCTTATTTTATTTCCGCTGCATATTCTAAATTAGTCAAAAATTGTACAATCATATTCACCCCCTAGGCTTGCATCCCAGTTCCAACATATACTTGAATTAAAACTTGTCTAAGCTGATTGATACTTGATGCATATATCTCCATATAACTCACTATTTTGATGAATCCAATATTTCCTTTCTCCATAAATTTTCACTAATATAAGAACAACAATTTAATCTTATGATTTAATTAAACATTATCTCCATGAGAGGAGATTAGAACTCTAGTAGATGAAAATTAGGCAGCTATTTGTTTTACACCTTTAAAGGAGAAAAGAACTAGGTAATCCGATAAGTTGTGTTAGAACATAGTTCGTACAATATCTCTTGTTTGAATAATAACACTCTCATTTGTTACTGATGACTGTTTGAGATGATATATTATAGATATAAACAAGTATATGAAAGGTACCATGCGAAAAAAAGATGCAAAGATCAACATTTATGTTGATTTCAACCATCTTGTTATCGATGGTCAATGACACACTATCAATGGTTGTGAGTGAAGTGATGAACTACAGTACATAATCAAAGAATTCTAGAAGCTAGATTTGACACCATCGATCGTCATGGGTGAACCATAGATGGCCAACACCACAGTTGATGGTATACAGTGCAAAACTGATAAATTATAAAAACTAGTTTTTAGACTATCGACATATTAGAGGGGCCTATCAATGGGCGTCGGGGACCATCGATGGTCATGTTTGCCCATCGATGGTAATAGCACGCTTTGGTAAATTTTAAAAGCAAATGACAACCGTTTTTTGATCTTTTTTATCTTTAACTTTTACTATGATTTCAATCTCTCTTTTCTTATTTATCAGATGATATATAAGGACATGAAGAGATCATATTTTGAAAAAGGTTTCATGTATTGATAAAAGATAACTTTAAGTGAGAAAATTTGAGGGTTTGAGAGAAGAAGATTGATTTGATATTTGAACCCCCGGAGCCTCTACACAAACTCTTTTTCATCACGCTCAACAATATCGGAACAAATCTTAGAGAGATGAGTTGCCCTCAGAATCAAGATCTACATTGTTCTTTATCGAGCTTTGCTTCAATTTTAAAAAAGCAATTTACTTATGAAAGGGTTGTAAGATTTTTCTGTTTTTGTGCTTAAACTATTTTTGGTAGTATATTTCAAAGTTGATTTTAAGGCATACTCAAGGTGGTGTTAATTGAGGGTTTATGGCATACTGAAACCGGTGGTAATTGAGGGTTAGGACTACCTAGGGCTAGGTGTTATTTGCTATGGAGTGTTAGCTTAGACGGCTAGTTTCAGAGAAATTTCATGGTACGGTCTTTATAAGTTTGTTGCCCCGACGGAAGCGGACTCAAATCACAACGAGTCGATAAGCAACGAACGAAGAACACCACGAGCACAATCCACAATAAAACGGGCAAAATCAATCACAAACACAGAAATATACGTGGCTTGGTAAGTTGCCTACGTCCACGGGGAGAGGATAGGGAGATTTTACTATATGGAGGAGAAATACAATGGGTTACAACTCTCAAACAATCACAATAACCCTAACCAACAAGATCTGAGAAATACAATGGGTTACAACTCTCAAACAATCACAATAACCCTAACCAACAAGATCTCACTCACCCTCAAAGAATCTCCCTCTCAAACCCTAACCAACAAGATCTCACTCACCCTCAAAGAATCTCCCTCTCAAAGTGCTCAAACAACTCTCTTTTCTCTGATAAAACCCTCCTAACAAAATGTGCCTTTAATATATATAAATCCCTAAACCAAAGCAGACTGGGAAATGAATATATCTATTTTACTCGTTATCGATCGAATGATAGGATGTTATCAGTCGACCAGTAAGTCTTCATCGGTAAACCGATATGGATTCATCGATCGACTATCCAATGTGATATTTTTTGTTCCTGCAGTGTGCACGTATCAGTCGTCTGATGACTTCTATCAGTCGACCGACCAGAGTTTTTTCTGTTCCACGTCTTTATCAACAATTCTTCGCCTTTTTAAATAATTCTTCACCTCGACGAAGTGTTCCCAAAACTAAACCGACACCAACAAGAGCACCAATGTATCGTCTCTCCAAATCTAGCTGCACCAATGTGGTTGCCTACGTACCCCCTCTCTCAAGGGATCAAGCCGCCATAGTTTCTCCAAATGGCCTCAACAGGCCTCAACAAGCACAAATCTGCAACAAGTTTCTACAATGATTGAACTTGTTGCTAGGGACCACCTTCGTAAGCATATCTGCTGGATTGTCTTTGGTGTGGATTTTCACAAGCTCCATATCCTCATCTTCAAGAACATCTCAGAAAAATTAATAGCAAACGTCAATGTGCTTCGTCCTCGCATGAAAAACTTAATTCTTCGCTAAATAGATAGCACTCATGCTATCACAATGAATGGTGACAGACCGCTGTGAAACACTAAGGTCCTCCAAAAGTCCTAAAAGACAAATTGCCTCTGTAACAACCTCTGTAATCGCCATATACTCTGCCTCTATCATCAACAAAGCAACTGTAGACTATAAGGTGCATCTCCAACACACCAGCGTATGATGCGGCATAAACATGTACCAAAAAATATTATAAGTGCACAACCGTGTCAAGTTATAGTATAAAGATATCGATCCCACGAGGAAGGTGTTTTGTAGGAGAAAATATAAAATCGGTTCTTATGTTGTGTATGTGACAAATAGGAGGGATGAGTGAATGTGATTGTGAAGAGATTAAGAAGGTGATAGTGTGTAAATAGGCACAAAATATAAGTGTGAGTGGATGTGACAATGAATGAATGATTTCCACAAGGAGAGATGAATAAAATCAAGAATCAAAAAGGAAAATCAAGAATGAAAATAAAATTCAAGAAAGTAAAGATGGCAGATTCAATTAAAGATATGAGTAATCTAGAATTGAACCCACTTCTTAGAAAATGGTGATTCCCTAGAGGGTTCTAGCC